ACAAATATTTCGCACTAACATAGATATTGCTTAGACCATGTCGGTATACCCCGCACAGTTTCCACAATGTATTGCTACTTACCTATAAGGTATCCCAAAATCCGGGTAGAGGATTCAAACTCAAACAAAGAACCATAATGTAAAGCAAACAAGTCAAACAATGAAAGAAATTAAATGTGATCTAACCCTAAGGTAACCCCACTTTTAAGATTCTCCCCAGCAGAGTCGTCAGTTCTGTGATACGGTGAGAGAACTGACTTGAAGGTTTTGCGTTTTATCGCAAATTTTGCGGTTAGCAAGAGTCGCCACCGACTTTTCTTTTATCCAAAAGGAAAGGTGAAAAAGCACATGAAATGACTTTGAGATTATTTCTTGAGTTTGGGGGATAGATTATGAAAAGGAAAGGTATTAGCACCCTTTTCATCCATGGTTTTCCATGGGCTCTTAGTTACTTGCTAGATCACTTGCTTTTTGTTTGAAATTGTGCTTTGTGTGGTTTTTGAAAGTATTTTGTAAAGAGGCCATTGTTTAGGCAATCTTTGTAATAATTCTTGTTCGTAAGAATGTATACAAAGATGTTGATCTTTTAAAAATGTTTTCAAGTTTGTAAGATGTTTTTGAAAGTGTAGGTGTTTGTTTTAAAAATAGCAAGGATGTTTGTTTTGAAATTGAGCAAGTAATTAGGAGCATTCTACCTACTCAAAAGTCTTTCTTTTTCATTTTCTTTTCCTTTGATATTGTTATCTTACCATTGATTTGGTAAGTAACTATATCTTTGGATATAAACAGGACGGACGTGGGTCATCGTATAACCATGATTAGCAATGTTGAAAGGTATCTTAGCATTTTCTTTAAGAGACTAAGATCATTTGAAAGACAACTTAGATAACGTCATCGAGGGACTATGATCTTGTATTTTTCTTGTTTTTGCTAAGATACCTCACATGCGTAATATGACCATTTTGTATAAGGCAACAAGTGGAACAACCCTAGGGGTGCTTGTGTGCAAGAGTATTGTTTTCATGCTTGATTTTGTCTTGAATTAGGATTTTCTAAGCATTGGTTTTAGTCTTTCCATACAAACCCTAATTACTAGCATGTTATATGTAAAGCGATAAATTGCGGAATTTAAAGTTACTACGCTATTACAATATTTGTGGGAGGGGGGTGTACAAATTGTAAATGGGGATTGTAAGAATATAAACCTAGTTAATCTATTACAACCATATTGAATTGGTATAAATGAAATAAATAATGTACAAAATGAATAAATGTTCAAGAATATAAATGTGAAGAAAATGAATATTTTTGTTTGGATTTTTTAGGAAAAGTGAATTTGTTTTAACCTAATTAATTAAAAGAAAATAATTAATTAAACCTAAATTTAATAAGAAAAATATTTTTAAATAAAAAAACCTAAGTTTATTAATTAATTAAAAGGAAATTAAGTTTAAGAAAAGTATTTTTGTATTTTTGTCTTGAAAATAAATTATAGTATTATAATTTTTTTGTGGCTTTTTTTACATTAAAATAAATATATTTTAATTGGTGTAAAAGAAAATAAATAATAACCTAGTTTAAAATTAAATTTATAAGACTAGTTAGTAAAAATAAATAAAGTATAGTTAAATAAAAATATTTTTTGTGAGAAAAAAATAAACTAAGTTAAAATATAAATCTACTATTTTTGTATTTTTTATGATTTTTTAATATTAAAAAAAATATTTAAGAAAATAAAATGAAATAAAAAAGAAAATAAAATAAACTGGGCCAGGGGTGTGTAAATGGAACATGGGGTTAACGAGTAAAAATAAAAACAAAAAGGGCCCAAGGAGGCCCAACGCCCTGCAAAAAAGAGGAAGTCAGAATGCAAAAATGTGGAAAAAAATCAAAAGGGTACCACTGGGGCTCGAACCCAGATCCCAAAGGTTACAGGCGTACGCTTCTACCACTGGGGTGGCTATACATCCGTTAACATAAGCAAATCAATAAATATATTATACAAAACGCGCTCTGATTACTTCATCTTCAACCTCAAGTCAGACCAACTGTAACTTGTTCATTTCTCATCAAAAATGAAAACTTTAAACATGAAACTTGTAGCAAATTTCCTCACGGTTTCAAAAATGTAAAGCATTAGAACTATATATCAAAGATAAGCATGAACTTTATTGGCCTTAATCTGAACCCTAAAAATCTCAAAAACTTCAATCTTAAAATTCTCTAAGCTCAAGCAAAATCAATAGAAACTATAGACATGGTTAGCTTTAGGGCAATTATATATACATGTTTTATTCACAAATAAATCATTGATGATGTCTGTATGAAAAGTTCTAAAGTTAGAAAACTTACCTTGCAAGAGGGTACCGGGTTTGAAGTTTGAGCAGCTTTCATGGAGTTCCAATGGTTGGGTTAACTTCCTCAAGTTCCCAGGAAGCTAATGGAATGCTTAGCTTGAGCTAAAAGGACCCGAGGAGTTCTGGAGAAGTCCAAGTACAAAGCTCTGTTTTTGAAAATGGAGGATGGTGTTAATGGTGTTACAGTTCTGTAACAGGGCGTGGGATCAATTCTAAATGATGTTTAGAAGCTTTAGAAACCAAAAGGCTTGAAAACGCACGAGAGAGTTATGAGTTTCAAGTTTTTAGTCAGTTTATGTGAAAATGGAAGTATGAGACGTGTTTCTGAGTTCTAGGTCCTTTCAAGGCTTGAGCATTCATGTATTTGTGGCCAATGGTTTGTGTATGTATAAACAAAAGTGTTTGAGAGCTTTGGACAATCAAAAGTACAATTTTTTAGCTTTTGGCTAGGTTACTTGATTTTGAAGAAAAGAGGGAAACCAAGTTTCAATGTATAGTACAAACATGGGTTGGGTGATTGTAAGTGTCTAAACCCTTTCTCATATGTTATAAGACATGTATGATCAGAAGAGAACAAGTTCAAGGCTCAAGAACAAGTTTTGTGCAAAAAGTCACTTTATCAAAATGACAATGTACACTTTCTTTCAAAAAATGGATATAAAGCATGTCCATGCATTAAATGCTTAAAATGAGACCTCTAACAGCTGTGTAAACCATTAATTATGGAGTGCCTAATAAGTTTGAGGCCTGCAAAGTAAATTTTATGCAGCATAGTTTGAATTTTGAATTTGGTTCATCATAAAATACCTTGTAAATCAAGTGACAAAACCCTAACTTCATCTCTTCGATTCTTCCTACTCAAAAATTATCTCAAGGAGTTCTTGGACATTTTGGAAATCTTGCAATGTACTCTACAACCCATCTTTGAATTGCTTTTTAAGATTCCCATTGGAGATATATGAAAAAGTGCCATGAAGTTGGGTCAAAATCCTGACCAAATTAGGACAAAATTTCACTAAGTGTTTTGTTTCATGACCACATGTTTATAAAATTATAACTTGAGATCCAAGCACTTTTGGAAGAAGTTGTGTGAAGCAAAGTTGTATATTTCATGGAGATCTACAACTTTCATGTTGGAAGTTTCTATTGAATCATCTTGCATCATGGTGAAAACTTTGCTCAAAGTTATGAAAAATAAGAAATTTCCAACACTTAGAAAAATTTCTAAGTTTAGAAATTTTGACTTTTCAAAATGAAATCTTGACTTTTTGATTTCTTGATGAATAGGTTTCATATTTTGACATGTTTTGATGAATTGTAATCTTTGGCATTTGAATTTGACCAAAAAGTCAAAGTTTGACTTTTCAGTATACAGTTGACTTTTGATCCGTTGACTGAAAATTCATCTGTCAATCCTTTGGACTTGAGTAATGTTTTGAGCCATGTCATTAGGTCAAAATGATGCAATTGGACTCTTGAGATCATGCCTTAAACCAATTGATCATTTTCTAGGTCAAAAATCAGAAATTGCCCTTTCCCAGTCAAAACCCTAATTTTGATCATTTTGCCCTTTTGGAGATTTGATCAAATTTCTTGAGAAATTATGGTCCAAACTTGATCAAATGATACATATGAGTCTAAAATGTTGATGTGGATAAAAAATTATGAAGTTTGATTGTGAATTGGCCATATTTGACTTTTTCCCAAATACAACTGGTTTTTTAGGTCAACTGTTTAATTGACTGAGCAAAAGTGTGATCCAAAGCTTGAAACTTGACATGAGTAATCTTGGAGGTCCATAATGATCCATGAAGTCATATGGGACATTGGAAGTTCGAAAATCCCTGTGCAAACTTAAACCCTAATTTTGGTCATCAGTGCTTAAGGAGGTGTCTTGAGCTGATTAAACCCTAATGCAGTCCTGAGTCAAGGGAGATCTTGTGAGCAAATTCTTGATAAATGAGAGGGCAAATTTTGGGGTACAACACTACTCAATAAATATCTTTCTAGGATGACACAAAGAGACACATATATCATATCTTGCCTAACAAATAATGATAATGATAATGATCTTATCAAAACATTTAATTGATGTAAAATGTGTGTTTGATTCCACTTCTATTAGAATTAAAATAAATTTTAAATTAAATTTATTATTCAACTCATTTTTATATATAAATATATTTAAATATAAATAAATTCATTTAAACTCAATTATATTAAAATCAATTTTATCTAATTTTAAAATTACTTTTGCCCACGGCCAATTCAAACGGATCCGAAATTAGCTAAGGCTAACAAATAAAAACTTTCGTGAAATTCATGTGATACATCGGCAAGATATGGCCATGATATACTATCCTTTACCTTTTGAAAATACTTTTTCATTATTTCCAACTCTTAGTTGCGATTCCAACTCTATAAAGGACAAACATCACCTCACTCATGTCCACACTCTACACCACTGATACAACACACTTAAACACACTGCCACGTCAATTTAAATTACCAAAATAACCTCACTTCCTTGACTACACATTACCCTCCCCTCTTACAATTAAAAACAATCATGCATAGCAAAAGATCTTGATCGACTTCAAAAACCACCACCGCAAACCACACTACTGGATTCCTCATAAGGCAATGCCTTGCTCTTCATCGACTCCAATCACAACTGGTAGCGATAGCAGTAACACCAACAACAACGAGAAGAAGAATACGAAAAACGATGGCTCTTCTCTCCGCGATTTCAAACTGAACGAATCTACCTTTTTAGCTTCACTCATGCCGAAGAAAGAAATCGGAGTAGATCGGTTCCTTGATTCTCACCCTAATTACGATGGTCGCGGTGCTCTCATCGCGATTTTCGGTACTTTTACTACTTCGTTGACTTTCTTTCTTGATTTTATTTTTCGGTTGCTAAATGTCCGTGATGATTTTTGTGAACTGAAATTAATCTTGATTATGCAAAGGTTTAGTGTGTGTAAATTAATAGTTTGGTGTTGAATATTGAAGTTGTAGGAGTGTATACAGTAGCAAGATTCCAAAATGATCTCTGAAATTGTAAAATGTTAATCTGATAAGTTCCTTTGTTGTGATGACATTAAGTTGGTAGTTTAGGCGTGCATGCATTTTTAATTAAGTGAACAATGTCAAAAAAGCATTTGATTATTATAGATTTAGGGCATGTTTGGATAAACACCTTATTTGCAGCTTATAGCATAAGTGCTTATCATAAGCTGTTTTTATAACAAAAAATAAAATACATTTAAATTGTTTTTATATATGTTATAAGTTGTTTTTATAATCTATTTTGAAGAATTTACAAAATTAGTTTAAAAAATTTTATGAAAAATGTCATAAGCTTCTTTGATTAAATCTGCCAAACAGTGTCATAAACTTATGGCAGTAGATAAGCTCAAATAAGTCTATCCAAACAGACCCTTAGACATAACTTGATTAACATAACTTGATTAACAATTTACAATTCTAAGGATCATTTTGGAATATTAACTATTTAGGGGATTTGGTTGATATGGTTCTACAGAATCAGGGACCAAATTGAGTATTTACTTCATATAATTGAGTTATAGAGAACGATGTTTTGCAGTTTTGGTTTATTTAAAATTAATGTAAACGAAATACGAATTTGGTCTTTATTTGAAAATTAGTTGCATGTTTGGTTTGCTTGAGTAAAGCTGGTGGACTATGAGGAAATGTTTTGTGAATTTTAAAAATATATTTGAAGATGTGCTGGACTAATTTATTGGATATCTGTGTTGTTAGAATCCAAGAGCTGAAGAAATGTTATGTTCTTTTGTAATTTTATGTGGTTTGGGTTTAGATGTTAGGATAGAGAGTAGTCCAAAGAGTAGCAATGGGTTTGAAGAGTGAGACCAATTTTTTTGAGTTCAATAATTGGCCGATAATGGATTGCTTGTGCTAAAGTGAAGTAAATTTAGTGCTTTGGAAAGTTGTTTATGAGTAATGTTGGTGATTTTGTGCAGTGTTGAGATTCACATATTAGGGATTTGTTGCCTCTGAGTCTTAATTTGGTTTTATACTGTTTCAGAGATGAATATATGTGTGTGCTTGCTTGTGCATCCCAAGTACTGCAAATCTGTAATATTGTCTGCATTTTTGACTTCTTTTCTTAGCCTGGATCGTTTTTCTTAACTGTTATTTTTCTAGGGAAGTTTCTTCATTCTTGCTCATTGTCCTCTGTAGACTGTGGAATCCTTTGTTAAAGATAATTTTGATATGCATAGTTGTGTAAAATTAGTTTAGTTGCAGTTTTGATCTGTTCTTTTATTGGACGGGTGTCCATTTAATTTACTGCTACTAAAGTGCTTTTTGATGCAATAAAGGTACTGCCTGTATCCTAAAGTGTTTTGCTGCAGTCGTATTTGTTTAGTGGCTTACATTACAGATTTATTCAATCATCGAATCTGTCATCTGCATGTATACAGATTCTGGCATAGACCCGGCTGTTGATGGATTGCAGGTTACATCAGATGGGAAACCAAAAATTCTTGATGTCATTGATTGGTAAACAGAAAGTTACTTCGGTTCATGTTGAATTTTAAGCTGATAATCCTTTTGAGTTGTACTTGATTATTTGATTTCTAATGATATACTATACATTTTCTTCAGTACTGGGAGTGGTGATATTGATACCTCAAAGGTCGTGAAGGCTGATGCACATGGTTGTATTCGTGGGGTATCAGGTTAGTTCTAGGAAATATCAAGTAGGTTGTAAATACAAATCATTGTAGTGAGACATTCTTTAATATTCTTAAAATTATGGTTGAGCCTTATTCAACTCCACAAAGCCGGTTTGTAAGGTGTGGAATGCCTCCGACATATAAATACTTTTTCAGGCCTATCAGTCTATCAGATGATCCATTGCGTGACTTTTAACAAATATATAGTAGTTCAGTAAAAAAAACAAATATTGTAAATTGCTTGTAAGGAGGTACTCTTTAAAGAAAACAACATGTGCAGCTATTGATGACCTAGCTCCTTGTTTTGGGCTGAGTCTAGACAAACAATATTGTTATTCAAATAGCCCAAAGAAGAATGATTATACATTTCAGTAGAATCATATTAAAACTCTGAACAGTGAGTGGAAGTAATCAACAATTGTGTATGACATACCAACCAGAGAAGATATAGAAGAAAATTTATAATTGTCCTTTAAATTCAGTAACAATGGACCAGTGTTCCATTTTTATTTTACAGAATCAGAATACAATAATTTAAAATACTTTGAAACTGTTATTATTATTATTTTGAAACACCTGCCTTTTTCTATTGTTTCAAGGAAATTAATATCAGCAAACTTTTTTTCCAGACTGTTTAGTTATTTTTTAAAAGAAAAATTGTTTTCGGAAACAACAACCAAACAAACTAGCTCTAAAGTTTTCTTCTTTCAATTTAGTACTTGTGTTATTTATTTTTTCTTTCTATTTTCCCTTTGAGTGTATTTTTGTTTCTTAGCTTGCACATATCTCCTTACTTTAGAGTTTGTTTCTTCCCTTTTCCCTTGTTGCTCATGAAAAATTATTTACAGGGGCATCTTTGGTTATCAATACTTCATGGAAAAATCCTTCTGGTGAATGGCACGTGGGTTATAAATTGGTTTACGAGCTCTTTACAGAAGAGTTGACCTCTCGTTTGAAGGTAACATTACAGTTCTATGAAACATTTTAGTTCTCTTTAGGACTCTTACCTCTGGCTAAAAGATTTAATTTCCGTTTTCTTCTCTTAATTTCTCATTGGCAGACAGAAAGAAAGAAAAAATGGGATGAGAAAAACCAGGAGGAAATTGCAAGGGCTGTAAAAAAACTTGATGATTTTGATCAGGTTTCGTTGTAAAATTTGATTGATTCTTCTTAAGTATTCCAGAATCTTTGAATCTCAAATTGCATATTATGCACTCATCATCTTTTTAATATTTTATATGTAGTAAGCACCAGATACAGATAATACAGGGGCAGGCTGTTCACATGCTCTCTTTTTCTTATTGTAGTATGTTAACTCATGTTCTGTTGTATTTGCATGCATTAATAAATTTTGTTTTTGAGAAAGAAAGAAAAAATCCTCCTTTTGTTTCGTATTCCTGCATGCTGTATTTGTTGTATTTTTTATACATTCATTTCCGAAGTACTCATCCGAAGTAGTATTTTATACTCTCTTATGAGCAGAAGAGAGGAAAAGAAGAAAGAATAAAAAACAAATGGAGCCTATGAATATGAATGTTGTTGAAAAGAGAAAAATATGAGAGACATGTGATGAAATCTATATGCATTTTAAGTTACACACGGAGAGAATATACATAGATAGAGTCATAAATGCATAGATTGTTTTTACTTCATCACTTTTTAAAATTTAATTAGCAGACTAAGTTGCATGTATTACTCCTAATTTTAAATACTATCACACCTTCTATATTGTACTAGTTGTTTTGTTTGCATTTTATTGTATTTGCATCTTCTTATTTCATGTAACTCAAAGCATCATGCATTTTCTAGCAACACATCAAGGTTGAGGATGGAAAGCTTAAGAGGGTACGTGAAGATCTGCAACATAGGCTTGATCTTTTGAGGAGGCAATCTGAGGTTGGTGTTGCTCACGTCACACGACTTTGTTGCTCTTTGGTTATTGCTGCCTTTCTGCTCCTTGAAATAGGACATGAGTAGTTTATTTCAAATTATTTCTCATTATAGAACTCTAAGGATTGGAATGATGACATTGATAGAATGGTCCTTGCTAGGAAATAATGTTGGAAACACCATTTTAATTTCCCTGCAGAAACAATGAAATTCATGTTTCTTTGTCTCTCCGACTCTTATGTTGAACACTCAAACTAAGGCATTTATGCTCGTGTTTGTGCTTTTTTCCCAAATTTTATCAATTGAAGTTCCTTACTTTGAAAAGGGAATGCCGTGTGTTCCAGAGTTATGACGATAAAGGACCCATTATAGATGCTGTTGCCTGGCATGATGGGGAGGTCTGGAGGGCTGCCCTTGACACACAGAGCCTTGAAGATGATCCAAATTGTGGAATGCTTGCTAATTTTGTGCCTTTAACTAATTATAGGTACACTTACTTTCTGGTTTTAGTTTTGTTTTATGAATATCTATTTTTATTATAGCTTTTGCAGAGATATCTCGTGAAATCGGCAACATATTTTCTAACCTCTTAGAAAGTGTGGATTGAGCCAAACTATCCCTTATAAACACAGGTGGTTGATCAAGTTTGAGCTTGTTAACAACTCAAGTTTGGTTTTAAGAAACAAGAATCTATTAGTGTAGAGTGGCTTGGTTAACACATCAGCCCACTGATCTACTGCATGAATGTGGGAAACAATCAGGTTCTTGCTAATCACTTTCTCCCTGACAAAGAAAATGTCAAGTTCCATGTGCTTGGTCCTTGAGTGCAGAACAGGGTTGTGACCTAGAGACATTGCACTTAAATTGTCACACAGTATCTTGGGAGTTTGATGGCTGATGTTTAGTTCCCGCAGGAGAGATTGGAGCCAGAGAATCTCTGCTATAGCTAAGGCCAAGCTTCTGTATTCTGCCTCAGCACTTGATTTGGCAACAAGTGTCTGCTTCTTTGCCCACCAAGCAACAAGATTAGGCCCTAGGAAGATGCAGGCTCTAGAAGTGGACCTTCTATCGTTAGGATTTGAGGCCCAGTCTACATCACAAACACCTGTGATAGTGAGAGGTAGAGTGAGATTAGCAGGTGAGAGAAGTAGACCATGTGAAACTGTTCCTTGGAGGTGTCTAAGAATTCTCTTAACAACTTTCCAATGGTCCTCAAGAGGGTTTGAGAGAAACTAACACACTTTGTTGACTGCAAAAGATATCTGAGGTCTTGTTACAGTAGCATACTGAAGGGCTCCTATTACAAACCTGAAGTAGGTGGAATCAGTAACTTGAGCAGAACCAACTTTGGAGAGTTTTGTGCTTGAAGCCATATAGGGGAAACAATCCCTTTTGCAGTAGCCATGTTAGTTTTATGAAGCAAATCCCTGATATACTTGCCTTGAGAAAGCAAAAGAGATCCATTGGGAAGATGAGTCACCTCTATGCCCAAAAAATAATCTAGTTTGCCCAAGTCTTTGAGAGAAAAGGCCAGATTGGGTTTAGTAACCAACTGCTTGTGAAAGAAGAAGATGAGCCAGTGATGATAATATCATCAACATAAACCAACCCTAGAGTGTAGCAGGATGGTGTGAGCATCATGAACAAGGAGGGATCACACCTGCTGGCAGTGAAACCCAGTTGCAGAAGGGACCCTTTGAGTTTATCAAACCAGGCCCTAGGAGCCTGTTTAAGCCCATATAGAGCTTTGTGTAGCTTGCAAGCCAGACCAGGCTCACCCTTTTCAAATCCTGGTGGCTGCACCATATACTCTTCTTCATTAAGCACTCCATTTAGAAAAGCATTATTGACATCAATTTGCTGTATGGTCCAATTTTTAGAGATGGCAAGTGTTAAAACAGTCTTCACTGCAACAGGTTTCACAACTGGTGAAAACGTTTCAGTATAGTCAAAGCCTTCAGCCTGATGGAAACCCTTGACAACCAATCTTGCTTTATATTTATTAATGGTCTCATCTGCATTTTCTTTGACTCTGAAAACCCACTTGCAGCCAATGGGTTTTCTGTGATCAGGGGCAGGCACCAAAGACCAAGTGTGATTTTTAATTAATGCCTCATACTCAGCTTTCATTGCAGTTTGCCATTCAGGAATAGATAGAGCTTGTTTATGTGAGGTTGGTTCCAAGTGAGTGAGAAGGAGAGTGGGGTGCAACCTAGGTTGGATAATACCATCCTTAGCTCTAGTAACCATGGGGTGAGTGTTAAGAGGATGAATAGGTGGAGCAGGGGAGGAGCGTTCAGTGGATGGAGAGGAGGCTATGCTATTGCCAATGACCACTGACTGAGGAGGACTCATTACCAACTTGAGGAGACACAGTTGAAGAGTCAGTAGAAGCTATTTCATTTTGGACAGAATTTTGAGAAGTAGAGGCAGACTGGGAGGGAGAGGTAGGCAAAGTGTCAGGATTACTGCTGCTGAAAGAGGACTGTCTGCTAGGAGTGAAATGAGCAGGGATCACAGACACAAATTGATTAGGTTCCTGAGAGATATTTGGTGAACCAATGGAATTGTTAGGGGACTAAAAGTGTGAGTGAGGACAAACAGATGTAAGAGGAATAGGATGTCTAGATGAAGGCCCAGAAAAAGGAGTAGTCGAGGATGTAGAAACAGATTTAGATGATGAGTCAGGAAATAAGGAAGTGTATGGGAACCTGTGCTCTTTGAATATTACATCCTTAGATACAAAAATTCTGTCAGTGGGATCAAGACACTTATAACCTTTGTGGGATGGAGAATAACCTAAGAATAAGCATTCCTTGGAATGCATAGCTAGTTTGTGAGAATTATAGGGTCTGAGATGAGGAAAACAAGAGCAGCCAAAGGCCTTTAAGAACTTGTAGTCAGGAAATTGAAAATATAGTAGGAAAAAGGGTGATTTGTTATGCAGGGAAGGAGATGGGAGCCGCTTTATGAGGCAGGTAGCAGTGAGGAAAGCATGGTCCCAAAATTTAAGGGTAGGTTAGCTTGAGCAAGAAGGGTGAGACCTATCTCCACAACATGTCCGTGTTTACGTTCCACAGACCCATTTTGATGATGAGTATGTGGACATGTGACTCTGTGTGTTATGCCATGCATGGTTAGAAAATGTGTCAATGGTTTGAATTCACCTCCACCATTTGTTTGCACAAACTTGATTTTGAGATTGAGTTGTAGCTCAACAAGAGCTTTAAACTGAACAAATGTGGCAAGTGTGTCAGATTATAGTTTAAGAGGATAAATCTAGGTATAACGGATATGAGCATCAACACAGGTTAGATTTTAGTTCAAGGGGTTTGGAGTAAACAGTTTTAGATGAGGTAGATGGTAACCTATGTACCTTACCCATGCAACAAGCATTACAGAAGTCAGAAAACTGTTTATTAGAAATTGAAATATTACAAAGTTTGAGAACTTGTTTTAGAACCTCATAATGAGGGTGACCTAACTTGTGGTGCCACATTTTGTACAGGCTAGAAACAAAATCTAAGTTCCTATTATTACAACTGGAATTGAACACATAGCTAGATTCTAAAGAAAGAGGTTGAGACTTGGAGCTAGATGACTTGCAAACAACACTGAGGACTTGAGAGGAAGCAGGAGGAGGAGTGCAGTCAAACTTGTATAGACCATCACTCCTAAGGGAACCACTCAAAAGCACTTTAGAAGTACCCTGACATTTCACAAAGCAGGCATTAGCATGAAACTCAAAGAATACAACATTATCTTAACTCAAAGAATACAACATTATCTTTGGCAAATTGATTCACACTTAACAGATTTTTAGTAATGGATGGAACAAGAAGATTATTCAATTTTAAAGAAATGTTAGGGCATAAATTTGAAGGAAAGGTCATAGAACCAAGAGAGGTGATGGACAAACCTTAGCCATTGCCAATGTATATGAACTTGATCATTACCAAGCAGAGATACAATATCAGTGAGATTTGTGGCATCTGGAGTCACATGATGTGAAGCTTCTGAGTTAGGATACCATGCCTGGATGTAGAATGAAGAACAGTAAGTGCCAGCAATCATTGCCTGAGGCCTGGCACCTGAGTACTGAGATGCCATGATTGGAGCCATAGGTCTAGCTTGGTTCATATTTGAAGGACTTGGAGCCCTAAATCCAGGTTGAGTCCACACATTTGGTTGACCAAAGCCAAAATTTCCAAATGAAGCAGGTGTACCATAAGGGGGATAGACACCATAAGAGTCTTGAGAGTGTCTATAGTAGCAGTAGCTAGCATCATGACCAGTTTTGTAGCACATCTGACATTGCACAGAGTTCCTGTAGCCATTGCGGCCACCACATCCTCTGAACCTTCCACCTCTATTGCCTATGCCTCGAGAGTAGTTACCACGACCATAGCTTTGGAAATTTCCACCACTGGAGTCAGTGATATCAGGGTTTTGAGGATTGAGATTGGAACTCTGCACATTACCTTGAGTAAGGTTCACAGAAACAGTCTCAACAACTTCTTTCTTGGATTTCTCCACTCTAGCTTCTTGAGTGAGGAAAAGCGATTCCAACTCATAAAGAGAGATAAACTCAGACTTAGAGTTAACAGCAACAACAACAGAGTCAAATTCCGATGGTAACACCTCAAGAATCAATTCAATTTGGTCACGATGAAGGACCGGATCACCAATTGACATTAAAGTATCTACGATAGTGCGAACGCGAGCAAGGAATTCAGAGATGGCTCTAGTACCTTTGGAGAGGGAGCGAAGCTCCGATCTGAGTTGACGAGACCGAGTCTTCATTTGCGTACGGAAAAACGCATGAATTTCTTCCCAAACTTGCCATGAATGGCGAAGAAGAACGAATCGAGAGAGGAGCAAATCGGAAATTGTGGATAGCAACCACGTACACAGCAACGCATCCTGTTCTTCCCACGCGATGTAGCTAGGGTTCTCACTTTCGGCGTCGCGATCGGCAACAGTGAGGTATCGTTTCGGTACCTGAGGTGATACGACAAATCACCATTTTTGTGCCACGAAGAACTCCTTCGACTTGTTGTTTCCACTGTCGATAGTTCTCATCGAGCTTGACTGAGATCTTCTGTTTGAAGGTAGAGTTTGCAGCAGCGGAGCTGTCACCGCTTGCGGTGGTAGACGGAGACGGAGGAGCCTTGAGCGCCGAGGATCAGAGATAAGCTCTGGATACCATGTTAAAGTTCCAGAGAAGAGAGAGAAAGAGAGTATAGAGAAAGAGAAGAGAGAGAGAGAGATTGTATAACAAAATTTGTAATTCCTTAACTGATTCAGTTACAACAGTTCCTTTATATAGAAAGGATAAGGGATAGAATTAGACACTAGTTTAATTCCCTTTTGCTAGATTATTACTAGATTACCCTTATATCTCTAATATTGAGCATATCTCATCCCTAAATCCTAACAAATTTTTACTTCACCTGTCACTACATATAGACCCTGATTTGAAAACCATATCATCCTACTGATTCATAGCATAGCATGCTTTCTTGATTTATTTCTTTTGCAACAAATGTGAATCAGTTGCATGGAATTGGCACTTGAGTGAGCTGTTCTTGTGTTTCTTGAAATATTTATCTGTCTTGAAACAATTCAACACTAACCTTTTTATAGTATGCACGTAATATATTGAACAGATTTGTTTATTTATTTTATGGCTGTACAATCGTATTGAACAGTTTATATGACATTCTACAAATTGGTTTCTCTACTCTGCGTGTTTAGATTTCTATATTGTTGTTTATAACTGACATAAATCACATAGATGATGTTGTTATTTCCTTGGAAAGGAACTCCTACCTATTTAGCACAAAGAGCTCAGTTATTACCCATATTTTTCCTAATAGAGAAGTTCCTGAATTTATGTAATTTTCCATTGAAGAAATTTTATGTGGTCTGGCTATTGAATCAATTGCCATTTTGTTTCCTAAAGTATAGTAATGCTAACTATGACATCCTTTTATTTCAGGATTGAGAGGAAATATGGCGTCTTCAGCAAATTAGATGCTTGTACATTTGTTGTTAATGTCTATAATGATGGGAATGTTTTAAGTGTTGTAACAGACTGTTCTCCCCATGCCACCCATGTTGCTGGTATATCTGCTGCTTTCCACCCAAAGGTACTGATATGTAATTTGATCTGTATATTGAAATTCTTATGAGGGATCGTATACCTATTGATACATGATTTTGTTTTTAGGAGCCTTTGTTGAATGGAGTTGCACCTGGCGCACAATTAATATCTTGTAAAATTGGGGATGCCCGCTTAGGTTCAATGGAGACAGGAACCGGGTTGATTCGGGCATTGATAGCTGCTGTGGAGGTGCATAAAATGTTTCTTTTTTTCTCTTCATCTGATTATACTGGATATTCCCAGTGGTGATATATGATTTTCCTTTTATATTTGTGTTTGCCAAATTCGTTAATGTGTATGGTTTGAGTAAGTAAGACTTATAGGAAGACTTATAGGAATGACCATTCCACGATTCTTTTTCACCATAATTGCGATCTCATTAATATGAGTTATTCCACGTTTCTTTTTCAGCATAAATGTGATCTCATTAATATGAGTTATGGTGAAGCAACTTTACTGCCCAACTATGGACGTTTTGTTGACCTTGTGAATGAGGTATTTTCTTGAGTATTGATTTTAACTGGGAACTTTTATCTTCTCTTTTCCATTTTCTATTTTCTAATTATAAAGGCTTTGGTTGGTTTACATCTAGGCGGTCAACAAGCATCGTCTGATATTTGTAAGCAGTGCTGGTAATAGTGGTCCAGGATTGAGCACTGTTGGTGCACCTGGTGGTACATCTTCGAGTATCATCGGTGTCGGTGCATATGTTTCTCCGGCAATGGCTGCTGGTGCTCATTGTGTTGTTGAACCTCCTTCAGAGGGGCTTGAATACACTTGGTATATTTGTTTTAAACTACCTATCCTTAATTTTTTAAATTCTGATTTTGCCTTGTTATTATTGCACGATTGATTGGATTATTACAGGTCTAGCCGTGGGCCAACGGCTGATGGAGACCTTGGTGTCTGTATAAGTGCTCCTGGTGGTGCTGTTGCTCCTGTTCCTAAGTGGACTCTTCAACGGCGCATGCTCATGAACGGGACATCAATGGCATCACCATCAGCCTGTGGAGGAACTGCATTGCTTATAAGTGCAATGAAGGTGTTTTCAGTTGCATTTCTTTTGTAGCTTGTTTTATTTGATTGGTACTACTGTGCTCGCATATGCATGATTTTCTGATGTGTATGATCCCCATGCAGGCTGAGGGAATTTCTGTGAGTCCATATAGTGTGAGGAAGGCTCTTGAGAATACCTCAGTTCCCATAGGTGATTTGCCTGAAGATAAATTATCCACCGGCCAAGGGCTTATGCAAGTTGACAAGTTAGATAATTTACTCATTCTTTACATTCACAAAAACATAGAATAAATGATAACTTTGTAAGATTTGTATCGACTTAAATCATACACTCTATGACAGGGCTTTTGAATATATACAGAAGTGTCAAAACTTTCCATGTGTTCAGTATCAGATAAATGTCCATCAATCTGGAAAAACAAGTGAGTTTACATTCTAGCATTCTACCATGGATATTTCACCTTTCCTTATATTTGTAATGTTTGAAAGTGCATGTTAGTAATAAATTTGAGATACTGAGATTTAGAATAATTCACACTATTCTCACACTCCTTTCCCTAATAACTTAATTATTTTGGGATACTTGTTATCCGAGGCTCTATATTCACGCAGTAGTCTTGAGTTTAACTCGCATTCTTCCAATAAAAAAAAAAAATCAAATTTCAGCACAAGGTAGGTTGGTCCTTTGTGCATTGCCCATGCTTCTAGCCCGAAAGGCTCTTTCGTGAGAGGCGTATTACATTACATATATAACAATCCATCTCCTTCATTCAATAAAAGGTTGGTTCATGACAAGTTACAGCCCATTAAGGTAATTGTAAACATTGAATTATAAACAATCTATGTTGTTAATACCATATGGCAGCGTTATAAACAATCTATGTTGTTAATACCATATGGCAGCGTGTAGCGCCCAACTTCAAAAATGCTGTAGCAGAATAGCTGCTATTGTGAAGACTAAAAGCAATGTACAAAGGAAACAAAAATTCCAACAAGATACACAATCAAAAGGACAATCATTGTTAATAATTATAATCAACTGTCACTTCTCATCAAAGTAACTTCTAAATGTAATCAAAATGACATAGCGGAAATGCTATAGAAGTATAGCCGCTATTGTGAAGGCTAAAAAACAATGTACAAAGTAAAAATAAATTCCAACAAAATTGATAAATACTCACAAATAGAAAAATATACAAAATTAAAGGGACAATCATTCTTAATAGATTATAATCAACTTTGTCATTTCCCATAAAAAAAGTGATGGATGGTCGGACTGGGCACCCCTTTTTGGAGTTGAATTCAGGTCTGGAGAGCTAGGTTTCATCTCTGTAAGAGCAAGCTTACATGTTTCTAAGAGCAAGCTTTTGAAATTGGCAAACTTACGTCCTTTATATGATTGCTGATGGCAGGTCCTACATCACGAGGCATCTACCTGAGGGAGCCTAGTGCTTGTCGACAGACTACTGAGGTGAGATCTCATTCATAAATTTGATGTGCATCGCAATGGTGATGATTATTGAGTCAGGAGTTTCAAAACTTGTAAATGATTAATTAAGTGAGAAAGCTAATTACTGATGTCTCGAATCGAATCTTGGTCAACCCATTCAGGGGTCAACTCAATTGATGACTAATTAAAGACTAGATAATCCTAAACTAATTTACATCCCTTGCTAAGACATTGATGAATGAACACCAACAAAAAGTTATGCTGTTAAAAATTGATGAGGAGTTATATGATGAAATTTGATAACTCCTATATTGAGAGCCTAGAGCCTTGAATTTGTATAGAAGTAGGGAAATAGCCAGAGAAAATGGGAAGGATTGTAGTGTGAAACACACATTGAATCTGGTGCTCACCTCCATCTAATTTAGACAAAAGAGTAGAAAATAGTGGATTGTTGTATTATACTTCTGCTTTACAACCTTATGTATTCACTTTAAATGCCTTTTCTTGTTGCTTCTGTTTTATCTATATTACTCACAGCCACTAGCTTTTTAACTTATGCTTGTACTTATTCATAGTGGATAGTGCAAGTTAATCCCAAGTTTCATGAAGATGCCAGCAACTTTGAGGAAAAGATTCCTTTTGAGGAATGCATTGAGTTATATTCTACTGAAAAAACTGTTGTGAAGACCCCTGACTATCTCTTGCTCACTCATAATGGTCGTAACTTCAAGTTAGTTTACTTTTCTTTACCATTTTATTTTCATGCTTATATATTGCTACAAACAAAATAGTAAAAATCAATATCTTAATGATATTTTAAGGTCTCAAAAATGCCACCTCCATAAAAAAGTCACAGACTTCCGATAGATAGGTGTTACTATAGTTAAAAGTGAGAACTAAAATTAGAAACAAAAAATGTGCTATGAATGAAAGTTTGAACGGAATTTTTGTTGGGACAAAAAGAACTAATATATTTTTTTGGACGAAAAACTTATTTAAACCTAAAATATAGTTCACGTAAAAATATAGATATTTATTTTATTAGTGATTATGAAGATATATATTTTCCCTACAAGAGAATAGGCCAGACAACATGTCTGTTCTCAAACCATAAAGAAGCAAAATTTGTATTCCGTAAGGTAAAAAATATGAGCTATCCGTAACTTTTGAGTGTCGATTTATTATTTGTATCCCACAATCAGCTACTGTTGACAACAATTTTGATCTTGAGGCTCTCGAGCTTCATGTACTGAATTCTCAATACCAGCAGTATGATCAGCACAGGATCAACCTTCTGTTTCCTAATGAGAGTTTCTATAATTGCAACGTAGCAGTGCTTGTCGAAACAGAATTTGCAAGCGAAAGAGGCACTGTATTATTGACTGCGGAACTAGTGCTGCACTGCCCGAATTTTGAGTTTTGCAGTAGGGGTGATAGCGATTGCAGAGCAATGATGTGAGCAGGTGGATTCTGCGAGTGTGGTGGCTGAAAATTGTGCAATTCATCTGGTACTGGAGAATAAGGAGGAATAAGATTGGAAGCCATAATTAAGCTTCATTGGCTCTAGATACCATGAAAGTATCCGGTCTAGGTTTTGTAGATTGAAATTATGGTTCTGTTTTAATTACGCGACTGAGATATAGAAATCAGGTATTTTTAGTACAAGGTAGTTAAGTAAGAGATTAGTCATGGGATGTTTACAACTGCCCACAGCTTTATGCACATAATAGAGTAAAGCAGAGTACTGCTGCAGAAGCTATGTAAAGTATATACTCTTTCAACACATTTACAGAAAAAATTTAATATCTTGTGAGTAATTCATTCTTTTAGGAAAACAGACCAAATTAACCCATCGGAAATCCACTCAAAATCATAGCTAAAGCACTCGAGGGAAACTAATTTCCTCAATTTTCTAAAAATGAAATATATTCATTATGACATCATCCGTGAGAGTGAGTTAACTTGGCAGAACTAAAACAAAACAAGTGTGTCTATTGCTATTGAGTTTATGTTAGACGATTTTTTTTGTAGTTTTATTTTTTAATGACTTCCGAATTGTTTTCTTCCTCTCAGTGTAGTTGTGGATCCTTCCAATCTATCTGATGGTCTTCACTACTATGAAGTCTATGGTATTGACTGCAAAGCGCCATGGCGTGGTCCTATTTTCAGAATTCCCATTACCATAACAAAGGCCAAGGCTGTAACTAACCAGTCTCTACAAGTTTCATTTTCAAATATGTTATTCCAGCCAGGTTTGCATTAATCCATGAAGTCAATCTCCTACTTTCAGCTGTCTTACTGCTTAGATTTAAACTGTGCCTACGTTAAATGCATTCCAGCCAAAACATTTGAGCTGCTTCCTAGGGGACCTTTTTCGTTTCTCCCACACAGCTAATGTTTGAAATTTGACTTAAATCATTTATGAAATTACTTTCACAATGTAGGTATAGTACCTCTGGTATCCAGTCCTGATAGAATATATGAATATAATATTCATTCACATTATTACATTATAAACTATTTTAGATAATCTCTTAAGGTTAGCTTTCATATTTCCTAATATATAACTACAACTCAATGCTTACTCTATATTTGTGTGTGTGGATGCTTCCAGCATATTAGCTAGTCTGTCTATTATAAAAACATTATTCATGTTAGAGTTGTTAAGATAATAGAAAGCAGAGAAATTGTAACAGAATTGAGTTTCTATTTCTTGATCTGAAAACAGTTGCAACAGAACTATATATAGGCTGTGAGATCTATGACAGCTCAGCAAGTTAGATCTAACAGACTTGCCAGCTCAGCAAAGCTGAACTGACTGGACAATCTAACTAATACAGAAAAACAAGAGTAACCTATAGTTATCTCTAATAAGAGTGAATGCAAATATTTACAAGTGTCCTATACATACACCCATAGTTATCCAAGTCCAAACAGGCAAGTGCAGAATACAGAGTCCAACACTTTCAGTTAATTCTTTATATTTTTTGTTTTATTAGGGCATATAGAAAGGAGATATATAGAAGTGCCACATGGTGCATCTTGGGCTGATGTAACAATGAAAATGTCAGGGTGTGACATACCTCGAAAGTTTTTTGTGGATGCCGTTCAGGTAAAATTTGCAGCTTGAAAATTTTGTTTGATTGTGTAAGGTTCTTTTTCACATGCTTTCTATGTCCAGATGTGTCCATTGCAAAGACCTCTGAAATGGGAAAAGGTGATAACTTTTGCTTCTTCGGGTGCCAAAAGCTTTACCTTTAAGGTAGTAAGTGGTCAGACATTGGAACTGGTCATTGCTCAGTTTTGGTCAAGTGGCATAGGGAGTCATGAAACTGCCAGTGTGAATTTTGAGGTAACAGAATTACTATTTAAGATAAATTTGTTTCCCCACCTGATATTGGATAGACTTCGGTGTTTCTTATAAAAACTGAAATGTTCCTAAATTTTGAATTGATAGGTCTATGATGATTGTTCCTATAACTTTCAGTAATTTATTCTGATGATGATTATCTTAATTCCTTTACATTACCCTCCCTGGTTTGCTTGAATGATATGATAATCGTTGATAATTTGTTATATTTTTCAACTTTATTACACTTCAAGGAAATGACAGTTGACATGAATTGACTTTTAAGGCCATTTACAGGCTTTTGTCCTTCCCTTAGTCCATATTGATGTTTGTGGCCTCTGAATATAGAATCATGGGATAGTCTTCCGTGGAGGGATTCTCAGTCTCTTGCATGTATGATCTCTGTTGAAAAGCAGGGATGTGATTTGTGTTATTTTCATTCCTCACTGAAGATACTTTGGTGTTAACATGGAATTTCAGGTTGTTTTTCATGGGATAAAAGTTAATCATGAAGAACTTATACTTGATGGAAGTGAAGCACCGGTCAGAATTGATGCTGAAACATTAGTGGTATCCGAGGAACTTGCTCCAGTGGCTATTCTAAACAAGGTTATACTTTGAAAGTTTGAATACTTTTCATTTTGTGCTATTCCGTTATGCTGATGACATGGGATACCAATGAGTTTAACACGTTCCTTTTATGTGTACAAAACATGCAGATTAGGGTTCCTTATCGACCAATAGATTCTAAGATTTGTGCACTCTCAGCAGATCGTGATAAACTTCCATCTGGAAAACAGATACTGGCGCTGACTTTGACGTGAGTTTTGTATTTACTATGTCGTGTCTGTGGATCATTTAGACGGTCTTTTCTCATTAATCTGATATTACAGCTACAAGGTCAAATTGGAAGATGGAGCTCAAGTAAAGCCTCACATACCATTGCTAAATGACCGGATATATGACACTAAATTTGAGTCTCAATTTTATATGATTTCTGACTCCAACAAAGTATGTTCATATTTAATTTCCTTCTGTTCTGAAAATGTATGGGATGGTTCCATTTTAGAAATTTTTATAGTTAGATGAATAATAAATTGCATGCAAGTTATGCTCATACTTAAGCATGCTGATTTTTATATTTCTTAGTATGCCATATTTCTAGTTGACTAAAGATCTGCTAATGCTGTAGTAGGCAGGGATTACAAATTTACATGTAGTGGAATACACAACCTACCTATTGGGTCATAGTGTGTGTGGCAATTAATAATAGATATGACTTTGTTTTATTTGCTCAATAATATTTTTTTACACGTCGGCTTTCTTTATTGCATCATGTTTTGTATTTTGGTAACTTCATTTGTGAGACCCAAATTTTTTCAATACATCTCTTCACGCCAAGGGCTATTGGGCTGGTGTGTAGATAACATGGGTGGCCCAATATCAAATCTAGAATAGACTCCGATACTATCTTAGAGTTTAGCATTGACTCTAACTCAACCCCAAAAGCTAGCTCATGGGGTGAGGGGTGCCTCCCATTAATAACCATATTTAGACCATATCTCTGTCCAACTTGAGACTCTTTTTGACAATGAATTTCTTTCTATGATTCTAACATGTTTTGTATTTTGGTGGCTTTCTTTGCTTCATACATTAATCTCTTTTATTTTCACTATTCTGATAATAGCGCGTGTATTCAAGTGGAGATGCCTATCCAAGCTCTTCAAATCTTCCCAAGGGAGAATATAATTTGCAGCTCTATTTGAGGTATATATCATTTGAGTGCACATACTTGTTTGTTCCCACTGGAGCTTTATGACAGTTATTAACTTCAAACTTGTATATTTTGAAAAATTGTTTGAATTCCATGGGGTAGTGGTTAACTCCTAGTTTGGTTAGAGGACCCGAATGCTTGTTTTATTTATCAACACCTGCAATAAAAAGTTGGCATATGTATTGCAAGTGGAAGTTTGTAGGTTTATAAAAAATTTACACATAAAGGAAGGCGTGCATTCAACTTATTGACATTTACAATGATTTATTTGTCTCAGGCATGACAATGTGCAAGTTTTGGAAAAGATGAGGCATTTGGTGTTATTCCTTGAGAAAAATTTGGAGGAGAAGGTAGTTTATTGTTCAATTTGATGCCTCTCTCAAATGGTCAATTACTGCTGAACTCTACTGCTGTTTAAGGTTTTTGTGATGAGTTATGCAAGTTATATTACTCTTGATAAAGTTGGGATCACCTGATGCGTAATAAAACATATATAAGACACTCCTTTCATTTGATCTGCCACCCCACACAATTTTTTTAAGAAATAGGTGAACCTATTCCAGGATCTGTATTGTCTACAAAGATTCAATGATGCTGTTGGGTTAGATGTGTCAAAATTGGTGAATCTTCTTGTTAGACTCTTCAATTTCGTAACTGTTTTTAAATTATTATGAGTTAGTGGGTAATTATTAGAATTATTATAATATTAATTCAGAGTGTTTAGGCCTAGAATAAATAGGGGAAGACACTGGGGAGTTGATCGTCTAATTGGATAGGAAAAGGGACCATTTTGGCATTGGGAGGTGCGGACCCTCGAAGTTCTGCGGTATTATTCTGTAAATCAAAGGGATTTTCCCTATTTTCTTTTATATATCAGTTGGTTTCTATCAATTGGTATTAGAGCCGTTCTGATCCAAAGAGATTTTGCCGGTGTGCTGGAAATTTTGGTATGAATATGGCTGCATATTTGATTCCAAGATTTGATGGAAGGGAGGCCTATTGGTGACTGATCCAGGCTGAGCAATATTTTGGGTCAAGAAGAATGAGTGAAGAGATGAAGCTTGAGTGGGCTGTTGCATTTGCATTGAGAGGAGATGCTCTTGATTGGTGGATTTCTTGGAAGGAGAGTTATCCAAATACTTGTAATTTTGTAAAGGCCATTTTCAAGAAATTCCAACCAGAAGTTTGGGATTGTCTACTGGAGTCTGAAAACGAAACATAGGAAATCCAAGGCAGTAGTGAAATTCAAGAACCAATAGCATTACCAACTGAAGAAAAGATTGGTGGTAAAGTTGATGACTCACAAATCCAACAATACAGTGAAAAAGAAGTTTGTAAAGTGGATATCAAATCTGATTGCGAGAGCGACAAAGTGAAAAATACAGATTTATTGATGGCCGCTAGTGAAGCAAAGGTCCAGAGAAGTGACAGAGAGTTGGCTATTTCATCACATGCAAAGTCTAACAAGAAATTTCCTAAGATAAAGTCTAGGAACAAGAAATTTCCACTACCGGTGTCACTGGCCACAACAAGTGAGCAAGCAAATTTGATCCTGGGGGAAAATTTCTTATTTCATGTACAACTCAACCTTTATGTTTCAAGTTATGGGATCCAAGACGATACATTTTTTCTATTGTGTATTCCTTTCACCTTGAGGACAAGGTGAATCTTTAAGGGGGGAGTATTGTTAGACTCTTCAATTTCGTAACTGTTGTTAAATTATTATGAGTTAGTGGGTAATTATTAGAATTATTATAATATTAATTCAGAGTGTTTAGGCCTAGAATAAATATGGGAAGACATTGAGGAGTTGATCATCTTGGAATTGGATAGGAAAAGGGGCCATTTTTGGCATTGGGACGCAGACCCTCGAAGTTCTGCGGTATTATTCTGTAAATCAAAGGGATTTTCCTTAATTTCTTTTATATATCAGTTGGTTTCTATCACTTTTCCAGTACTTCTGAAGTATTTTATTTCATCCATCAATTTATTCTCCTATTTGAAAACAATTTGTAATCTTGAGTTAGACATGCCTCCATCCAATAGTGCTTCAGTAGAGTGTAGCGGTTGCATCTATGTTAGTAAAATTTAGATTATATATGTTCTTCTTTTAATACTTTAATTATTTACTACTTATGTTTAAAATTTTGTTTCCAGGATGTTATTCGGTTAAATTTTTTCTCTCAACCTGATGGCCCACTGTTGGGAAATGGTTCCTTTAAGTCCTCATTATTAATTCCAGGGTACGTTAGTAGGTTTATAGTCCAATTTATTAAGTGTCTTCTTGTGATGTGGTATTGACTTTTTTTTGCTGTATTTATTTATAGTATAAAAGAAGGATTATATCTTGGTCCACCGCAAAAAGAAAAGCTTCCCAAGGTATATTGTTTTCTGTTGTTAACTTTTTAGATAAAACCGTTGATAGTACATAATGGTATTTGTAATATTTCTGCAGAGTTCTCAACAAGGATCTGTATTGGTTGGGGCCATTTCATATGGGAAACTATCATTTGCTGATCAGGAGGAGAAAAAAAATCCCGAAAAGCACCCTGCTTCATATCGAATTTCTTATGTAGTTCCTCCAAATAAGGTCATCTTCTGTCTTATAAAGATATCTCCCTTTGTATCACTCTTATACTTTGTAATAATTGCGTGGTTGATTTCAACACGCACAGGGCTGTGGTTGAATCTACTTTCATGTTGACTTTGATTAATATCTATTAAAGGAATCACCTAACTCAAGCTCATGAGAGCTTGTATAGACTCTCCCATAACACATAAGGTCCTTTGTAGCTAACTCAAGCTCATGAGAGCTTGTATAGACTCTACCGTAGCATATAAGATCCCTTGTAACTAACTGACTGACACGTGTCAGTCAGCTATCAGCTACTAACCTACTAGAACAGTCTATAAATAGATTTTTTCTCTGTACTAAGTAGCAGAAATCAATACAAAGAATTTCCGAGCAAGATTTATGAAATCTGCACAGTTTGTATAATTCTAACATGTTGACCTTGATTAATGTCTAATTAAGTTTTTCTTCTGCTGAAAGGTTGATGAGGATGACAAAGGAAAAGGTTCTTCCTTATCTACCAAAAAGACTGTCTCTGAACGTATAAAAGAAGAGGTATATTAGTCATCTTACTTAAATAAAAGAAGAGGTATTCTATAACTCACATTTTAGAATGATGAACTTCAGTTATCTTTGCTCTTTAATTTTATTTTGAATTGTCCATCAGGTAAGGGATGCAAAAATAAAAGTTCTTGGAACCCTAAAACAGGAAAGTGATGAAGAACGCTCGGAGTGGGAAGAGCTAGCTGCATCGCTAAAAGTCAGTAAAGAGAGCTTATCTGTAGTTGTAGATGATTAATTGCTTTTGTCTTCATTTGTCTCTCTTTTAAATTTTGTGTTCAAATTAATATTGCAAAAGCTATCATATAACTTCAGCAGAGAAAGCACTTCTTAAATAGGTGAATTACTCATAATATCTATTCCTTAGATTAAGGATTGGTAGGATAAAAAATAAGAGGGAAATAAATGAAATAAAATATTGATCTTAATATAAATTGCAAATATCGCAGTAATAGGAAAGGAGATAAGGGAAAATTTGTTTCATTAAGTCTGTACTATCTTCTTCGCTATTTAATATTTTTTTCATTTACAAAGACTATTGCCTTTTGGTTTTGATGTTTTTCTAAATTTTGATAAGTGCAATCTGTTGTCTATTCTAATGCTATGTTTCCTTGCAGTCGGAATATCCAAAGTACACTCCGTTGCTTGCAAAGATTTTGGAAGGTTTAGTTTCTAGGAGTAATATCAAAGATAAAATCCATCATGATGAGGAGGTACAAATTTTCTCTACCAAACAATTAACATGAATTGTTCCCTCACCCCCTTTCTTCCCTCATCTTTCTGATTTTCCTTCCCTTTCACTATATTTTATATTTATAATGTGTCTTGAAAACTTGAATGCTATATGGCTGGTCTCTGGAGTTCTCGGGTTCCACTTTTAGATTTTGTTTTTTTTATCACCTAGAAGTTGAAAATCATGTATTCAATAGTTTCCTATAATATAGTATAATCCCATCTTATGGAATATATAAGAGTATCAGCTAAATTATAACCATTATTGGAGTACGACAGCATAAATTTCTCTCTCACGTCTCCTTTGCAGCTAATCCTTGCTACCTCAGTAATCTTATCATTAGTAATCAATCATACGAGGCTTAAAATGTTTTCTTGTAAAAGTTTGTACTTGTGTGTGTATAACTCTGGATAATGTGATTACATTGTGTAGGTGATTGATGCAGCAAATGATGTGATTGACAGTATCGACAGGGAAGAGTTAGCTAAATTTTTTGCACTAAAAAATGATCCAGAAGATGATGAAGCAGAGGTTTTCATTCTTGTTCTGATACACTAATTTGTTTTTGCAGAATGTTACAGCTACTTATATATTAAATAAATTTGAATGCTCACCTCTTTAAATAGTATTAGTATTGCTTGAGTTTCAATCACAACATTTCTGGTTATCCATGTCAAAACATTCATCAAGTATAAATTTGGAGTAAATAAATTTGAATTTTGACACACTATATCCAGTTAGTGGGCATATGTGAGGGTGTATCCCCATTCGCATAATTTCTCTTCATTATTTCTTCATAACTTCAAGTCTCATCTTACATATCCGATATAATAAAAGGGATAGAATCATCACTCTTGGGAGTGATAATATTTCTTGCGAGACTCTTTCTCTATAAGACACATGGTGCCATTAACTAATAATGCTCAAATTATTCCCTTGGAATTCTTTTTGAAGGATTCATCACTTTTGGGAATGGTAATATTTCTTGCGAGACTCTTTCTCTGTAAGACACATGATGCCGTTAACTAATACTGCTAAAATTAATTCCCCTGGAATTCTTGTTTTTCTAAGATCCTGTGGTTCCCTATGCTTCATAAAGTTGTATTGTTTCCCAAAGCTTCATAAAGTTGTATTGTTTCCCAAAGCTAACAATTAACAACCGTTATTATCACTACCAACTTAGATATTTGAAATATGCTGACATCAATAATCTTTTAATCTCACTGCAGAATACCAGGAAAAAGTTCGAGTCTACCCGAGACCAGTTAGCACAGGCACTGTATGAAAAGGGGCTCGCCCTGGCAGATATTGAATCTTTAAAGGTTAGAGCTTTTATTCTTATTCTGATCATCATTTTAGGAATTTTTGTGTATTTCCTTTATAATATGAATACATGCTAAACAATATGAAGAACCAGACTGTTCATATTGCAAAAGTTTGTTTCATTTGTAATGTCATGTTGGGTTGGTAATGAACATATTTATCCCAGTCGCTTTCTATAGTAGTACTTTATCATCTAACATTAATTAATAATATATCATAGAATATGAAATGCATCTGCAAACCAAGATAAAAATGTAATTACTTTTATCTTCTTCACAAATGAGGGCTTGTGCTTTTATGATGAGTTGCTTGAGTAAAAAGCAATCCGCATGTTAGTTTGATATAAAGGAATAATAATTACTTTGTACTATTAACAAGTGCTGAGAGTCTCACATTATATGTGAGATAAACCTAAAAAAAGTATTTATTAGTGAAAGACATCTATCACCTTATAAGTTGGTACAGTTGGTGTTGTACGCACTGAGTTATGGCCAACTCAAATTATAATAAGTAAAATACATCATAGAATATTATGGTGTAATCTGATCCATAAGGCCAAGCTTATATGATGGGGCATATAACTTGGTTTTATAGTAAATAAGCTGACACTGAGTTATGCCCAACTCAAATTATAATAAGTAAAATACATCATAGAATATTATGGTGTAATCTGATCCATAAGGCCAACGTTACATGATGGGGCATATAACTTGGTTTTATAGTAAATAAGCTGAAAACATTTTATAGCAAGCTAGGATTTGAATGTTTCTCGGAACTAGTTTCTTATATAAATATTAAAATATTAAATTTCCAGCGCTCCTCTCCAAGCTAGAGCATAGATATAGCAAACACTGATATGACAAACACCGAGTTTGTCGCAAATTAAAGTTATTGCCAGACCTTGGAGTGTGTTGGTAATGAATCTTCCAACTGGTCATTTGGTTTGACAAAAGAACTTGTAAATCTGCCATAAACAACCTTCTCCTAGAAAACTGCCGATATATCTCAATATGTTTTGATTGTTTGTGGAATATCGGAACCTAATAGCAGGCGACCCAACAGATCTTAAACGAGACTTTGATACCATCTTAAGAATTGTGGTTGAGCCTAATTCAATCTTACAAAACAGGCGTGTAAGGTGGTATTGTCCCCACTTATAAACATATGTTCAGGTGATATATTATCCGATTTGGGACTCCTTAACATAATCAAAGGGGATATTTCTTCCTCATTTTCAGTATAATATACAAAGTTTTTTCTTTGGAAATGCGTTGGACACCAGGACACACGTAACCTAGAGGTGCCTGAGCTTTAGAGGTCGATCATGTTAAAGGCTTATAAGATGATGACTTTCTAGAAAAGTCTAGTGATGCTGATGCCAGTGACTGGGTGCTTACTGTAGCGATAGCAGTATGCCCTGCTGCCTGCATGTGAGTGAATATTTACTTTTCACTATTAAAAGAAGTAATAAGTCAGCTGAAAATATTTCCTAGGAAGCTAAACTAGTCACTGACTTTATCGGTTGTTAATTTCACACACACACACACACATATTTAGTAAATAACATCTTAAATCTAACATTGTAATGACTATATTTGTCTAGATTGTTGTCTGCATGTACTAAATAGAAATAAAAGTCAACAGATTTTCACATAGTCTCCTGTGGTTAATTTGAATTGAATCATATGCCTTTTGCTTGTAAGAAAAACATGCGAGTAAGTGAGTCACTCCTTTATGATAATGGTAACATTTAATTATTTTTTTATCAAATAAAAGTTGGCAGACTTGACTTGGTGTATATTGTCAAAGGATTTGGATGCTACAGAAGGTGCAAACAAAGGTGTGGACAGTGAGCAATCTACAGATGATGGGAGTCATCCAGACTTGTTTGAAGAGAATTTTCTAGAACTCAAGAAATGGGTTGATGTAAAGTCATCTAAATATGGAATCCTCACAGTAACACGTGAGAGGCGTTCTCAGAGGCTTGGGACAGCATTAAAGGTATTTCTTTTTGAAAATGCTATATCAGTTGCTGCATGGGGATGATAACCCACCAATTTGAATTACTAACTGTATCTTATGACTCTGGTGTCCACCAGGTATAGACTTTTAGGTTTCATTGCTCCTTGAGATTGTTTATAGGTGTTTTCATATGATCAGTGTCTTTAAAACCAAACAGATCAATTGTTGAGACAAACTAATAAACCAATATACTGAAGGGAATGTAGATTAATTATAAAGTCACATGATAATACATCCAAAGTTCATTGGCGCTGAACTTGGTAGGGAGGACTATGGTTCGATCCCCCGCAACTGCGATTGGAAGGGGGCTGGAACCACTTGATGACAGAATTGACCCGAATCGGATTAGTCGGTTCAGTGGGCCGGACACTGGTGGTGAAAACCAAAAAAAAAAGTTCAGTAGACATATCATTCATAATTTTGTAATGTTACGAATAGCTATTTAAAATAGGTTTAAACAAATATTATATTTAAGATAGTGTCTTCTAGCCCTTTAAGGAAACCTTGACAAATAGCCGTTCTTTACAGACCTCTGAAACAGTTATGATGTTCTTTGAATTTGATCAGCCAGTATTATGGGTTGTATGAAACCAAATTCCCGACCAGTTCATCTCATACTTTAGTTGTTTGGTCCAGTTTTCATCATTTTACATACGATTATGTGATAAATGTACACTACTAGTAGTGACATGGATTGATCTTTATATTCAAACGAGGCTAAAATCATGAAGCAACTCTTGTGTATTTTCCATGCAAGTCTATTTCTATTTTGATTGATCTTATATTAACTTGGTTAGATGAACCACCAATCTTATATGAACTTTTGCTTACCTGATTTCAGGTACTGTGTGACATAATTCAAAATGATGCAGAGACTGCCAAGAAAAAATTCTATGAACTAAAGCTCTCATTGCTTGATGAGATTGGGTGGAAAGATTTAGCAACATACGAGAGACAGTGGATGCTTGTGCGTTTCCCTCCAACCTTACCCCTTTTCTAGGGGGCTGCTGCTTATTGGAAAATAAGTTGGATAGCCTTGTTGAGACTATGGAACCATGTCCTCTACGCGTACAAACGTGTAGCATTGTTATTAGATTTTTAATCTTATGATCTGTCCTTTCCCTTTTCTGCACAATCTTGAGCTAGCTATGTGTTATGGTGTGTGGCAAGTGGCAACTTACAATTCAACTCTCCTTTTAATCCTTTCTTGTGGCTGCCACATCAAGAGATTGTTAATATCTTTTACATTTATTTGGTAACTTAAGAATAAAGATCGTTGCTGTTTTACGTTTTCTTATTGTTTTTCCTTTTTTTTTTTTAATTCAATATCTTAGCGTATTTCTATATAACGTTAAATCGATTAACTGTGATGTTTTTTACCTACAACTTTTTGAATTACAGAAAATATGGCATGCAGTGTTAGAGTAAACTAGTTTCACCCTGATGTCTGGAGGAATTAAAATGTCACCTCCTCTTATACATAGCACTCCCAAACAGTATGAAAAAACTTAATTATTCGGATTCAAATATTTTTTAGAAATTCGAAATTTCCGTGATCAATATTTTAAATGGCGATATTGAAAATTTCAAGGTGACATCATAAATTTAGTGATACAGTAAGGAATTTTTGATATATTTGTGAAATATCTGATATTTTTTATTGGAAAAATTTCGGTATTTTTGTAGTGGAAATTTTGAATTTTTTGGTGTAAATATTTTTTTTTTGTATTGGAAATTTCAAAATTCTCGGGATTTTACGGGATATAAATTTTGATTTTTCTGATAGTTCCATTTTGAAATTTGAAAGTTCAAATTGTCACGTAAATTTGAAGTTTTTGATTTATTGGAAATTTCAAATGTATTATCAGAAATTTGTTTTTATCGGAAATTTGGTTGTGGTGTATTGAAAATTTATTCTGAATCGGAAATTTTATCTATTCTATTGAAAATTTTGTTCGAAAATTGTTTATATCTCATTAAGGGCATAATTGGAATAAATAAAATTTGAGGAATGATATGTTAATTTCTCTCGTATAAATTATCCACGAGGAACATCCCTCCCTTATATCTACAATCCTTCATCACCTATGTAATAATCACTAAATTTAAAAAACATAATTTTTATTGGAATTTTGGGATACAGGAAATTTTAAATTTTTTTTGGTTTTTTTGAAATTTTTGAAAAAGTGTCCGATTTTTTGAAAAATCTGAAATTGCACTTTTCGTGAGAATATTTTTTTTTTTACACTACCCGTAACCGAAATTTTAAAATTTTCGATACTATATAAAAAATTATTTCAAAATTTCCAGAATTTTTTTTCAAAAAAAAATAAAAAATTACTAAAAATTTCGTTAAAAAAATCAGAAAATTTTGGTTTTAGATACTTCTCAAATTTGTCCTGGAATATTTTTGAATAAATCAAATTGGAGAGTGACATATTTAATTTTAATTTTATAAGTGACATGTTAATTTTTCATCGTCCATCCCTATTACAACGATAGTAAACTATGTTACGTAAAGCACTCTAATTTTTTCCTTTCCAAATTTATCCCGTTTGGATCTTAAAATTTTGATCTCAAAATCTTAATGTTATTTGTAAACGCTTGGAATTTCTGCTCATGATTTCGTGTTACATAGTTTCATCACCAGGTTCATGATTTTTCCTATTGCCTGACCAACATAGCAACTATTCGATTATTTCCTTGGAATGTTATTTATAAAATATAGATAAAATAGGAGAATTTAATATGCCACTCCCCAAATTAAACATGATATCCTCTAATTTTTATTATTTTAGAATTATCTTTGTTGAGATACAAATAATTTTCAGATCAATTTTCAGGCAAAATTTCTGATACACTCCTATAAAATTTCTGGTTAATATCAATTTTTGGTAGTGTATTTGAAACTTCGATATTTTAGAAATTTCAAATTTACTAGGAAGTACCGAAAATTTGGGATATACTAAAATTTTTGGTAGTTTATTTATTCAAGTTTTTTTAACAGTCCATTATTTGCCAACATCTTTGGAAGATTTTGATTGCACCGACAAATTTGTGTGGTCTAGAATGCCTCACCATTTGTATAAATAGGGGCATATGCTATAGAGAAAAACATCTCAATAAACACGTCTTCCTCAATTTTTGATTATGGCAGAAGTATAATACAATGGAAGCAACCCTGCTGTTGAATTCAAGCTTCTAGATGGCAGCACATACCTTGCCACCTTGAAAGAAACATTGAATGCATTGCTGCATGAATCCGATAACAGAAGAGTGATGAAGATCGAGTTTTAGAACCATTATATTGATACAAATGGTTGGGTGAAATACAACCTGATTGAGTTGAAGACCGATGAAGATGTGAAGGCCATGTGGAAAATATTTCGCCGTAGGATAACTAAAGGTCCGATTGAGTTGGACGCGGAGATCCAAAGACTCGTCGACGACATAATCAAGATGCTGAAACGTGTAGGATTATCTAGTAGTGCCTAGGTTTTCATGTTTGTTTGTTTTTAGTTTTTGTTTGTTGTACTATTCTAGTTTTCGAAACATGTAATCGTCAAAATATTATGCAATAAATAAAAAGTCTGTGTGTCACAAAATATACATATAATACAACAAAAATAAAACATATCTACATAGGCCTTTTACGGGCTACGCCGACTAACCTAGATAAACCTGTATAAATCTCACCAGAGGGATTTACCAAACCCACGAGGTTATCTAAATGAATTGCAATAAACTGTAGGCGACTATCCTGATCACCTGCAGGTGGTGGTGGCGACTCGGCAGAAACCCTAGCATGTGAAGGCCCCGGGGCATCAAATGCTGCAGCCGGTGGTATGACCCGATAGTGTGATACACTGCGATACCACTCCAGATATCCTTCCTCGCACCGTGAAGGATGCTGAACCACAACTGCTCTCTCCCCTATCTCACGGACAGAGCTGATGATGTGAATCTGAAACCATCTGTCAATGCTACCGATTGGAATCACGGGAACCGGACAAGGGATGCTCTGGATATAACCATAGTGTCGTAGACATCTCTCAGGCAAGTGTCTACTCATATGGTTCACCCACCTAAGATGCCCTGAATACAAAGAAGAGTTGTCAAATGCACAATGAGCCTGATGAGTCGTATATGGTATCGAGACGACATCCTCTACAGTCAGAGCATCAAGCCTCCTCTAGTACTCCATCAAACCTCCTGGAAGGGATTTCTTTCCCTTCCATCTCCTCGCACATTATACAGTAGCCGGGACACGCTAGATCTTCCAGTCACAGATATGGGGGGAAGTGCTCGTATATCCAACATCACATAAATAAATAAAAAATCAAATAAATACACCTAAATAAATAATAAAAACCATCAAATAAATTATAGCATACCTGTAAAAGGCTAAGGTAACCATCCAATTGTCTGGTCTCAGGATGAGTAGCAACTCCAAGTGCCGTGTACATCATGTTCAAGGCTGCGACTCCCCAAGCCCAACAAGGAGTGTCAAGACTGCTGAACAGAGACAGGTAGTGAACATCGATGTAAACTCCATACTTGCCTGCAAACTCGTCACCATATGTAGTATGTACGCCCTAGCGGCAACTAGGTACTTTTGGGCCTCCACATGCTCCTCGTATCTCTCCCTAAGCCAAGACACCCGAGGTTTATATCCCTTGTTAAAGCCACACACTGCAAGAACCATCGCCTCAGATACCTCAAAATCATCCATAACGATGTGCACCACCGTTGCATGGTTAACATGAGAAGGTGTGAAGAATGTATCAGCAATCGAGATATGAAATAGGGCACCAACATCATCCAATGGGAACCCCATCTCCCCAAATAGAAGATGAAAGGATGATGTCTCTGGGTGCGACCTCTTAACAAAAGCAGACAACAAGGAGGCGTCTAACATGGTCAAAAAGCACTGAGTGAACTCTTGTAGTTGAAAATCTCTAACAATACTGTTGACCTCCTCAGGCATGCAACCCTCTGGGAAGTTCTTAAACTTCAAACCATGGAAAGAGATCTTCAACACCATACGCTCCTATTAGAAGGAAAAATAAAATATTATACATCAACTTTCAAACACTTGCAAAAAAAAATTATATAGCAACCAATTAAAATATATACCTCGCCATGCCATATTTTGTAAGAGACATGCTCAACAAATCCTGTGAGCATAGACCTGTGTTGACAAGAAATTTTTGACTAAGGTAATGGATCTTAAGTTGTGGAATTATTTGGCTGAAGTGGCATAAAGACAATAGGATGCATCAAGCAAGGGAAGGACGTCGACCAAATGAGTCAATCGACGAGAGCCAGAAGATTAGAGACAGTTGTTGACAGAAACAAGGGTCGAAGAAGCTAAAGAGAAAATGCATACTGGTGGGAACAATTATCAACGTGCAAAGTCAGCAAGAACGTGGGAATACTCAAACAGTCTCCACGATGCCCAAAACGGGGCTAGTAACTGTTAGAACATAGTTCTACATCCCTGTAAGAGTTTTGATGATAACAAACACATGATATATATAAAGAACATATATGCTCTCTAATAAAGTATTTTAATATACAGGGAAGTTCTGATGTAAGAAGCATAGAAGATGAGAAAAGTTCTGTTAGAACATAGTTTGGTTCTACATCTCTGGAAGTTTTGATGTAAGAAGATGAGAGAGTTTCGTTTTGAAGATCTGTTCAGACACAACATACTTAGAAGCAAATCCGTGTAATACGCTAAATGAAGAAGTTCTATGAATGCACCAATGTTGTGAAACAAGAACTCTAATATTCTGATATGTAAATTTCTGGAAATAAGTAAAGGAGTCTCAACGGTAACATTCATCTTCTGATGTGAGCATGTTCTGAAGCATTACATTTTATTCATGGCAAATTAAAAGTAGCAGCTGAAAGACAAGAATCTCTATGTTTGGAAAGTACATTAAATACTATTTATCAACCTTCCAAAAAACATATTCTCATGAGTTTCCTATATAA